GTGTTTACATTAAGTTTTTATCAATGTAATTTTTATACATATTTCTAGGAATAGTTTAAAAAATTAATATGAATAATATATATTTAATTTGATGACTAACAGACAATAATTTATAGACTAGTAAATAATGAATGGTGTATTAGGGTGAACGTAAGCTATATTGTAGGTTTCTTTTTAATAATATTTAAAAGTGCCACCCTCTATTTTTTAAAAAAGATATCTACAAAAATTGATTAAAAAAATGAAGGCCTATATTCACCGTTGAAACTATTAACTTAATTTATTTTATAAACCGTTCACTACAGAAAAAAAATGTTCACATAGAAATTGTTTTAAATTAAATATTCTATATATTTTTTACCTAACATTTTTTTTCTAACATTTACTGTTCACAATGTACGTTAAATAGTTTGTAAAATTATAGTAAAAACAAATTAAAATAAATAATATTAACTTAAATATTAATCTTCTTCTTTTTCCTCGCCTTAATCACAACTACTCGGGGTCGGCCATCCTTATCCAAAACTACCACTTTACACAAATTCCCACATTACTTACGCTCACATTAGCCGTCCCCATATCGCCTTCAATTACATCCCTTTATTTATTTTTTGGCGTTCCTCTACCCCTTCTTCATTAAAAATTCATTTCTATAACTGTTCTTACAGCTTCCGATTTTTCTCTCCTCATAACATGACTAAACTATCCAAGTCTATTTTCTCTCATCTTATCTATCTCATCCTTATCTTATCTTATAGACTTACATATTATAAAATTCTAAAAACTGTATGACAAATAAAAAAACGTATTAAAAATAAACTAAATATTTAAAAATTGTCTCGTTTTTAGAAGTCTTGACATAAAATGCTTTTATTGCAATTAGGAAAACTACGGCAATATTCTGCAGCAATCTGTAATAGATATTGTTTTTGTGCTTCATCTTTTATTAAAATACTATTATATTCTTTGATGATCTTCACATCCCTCTGCCAAATTATTTACAATTGTTTTACCTTTCCAATATTGATTATAAAAATGATCATTAATACATTTTATTGTTAGGTGTTCGATACAATAAGTAAATTATTTACAAAATATAGTACTTAGAGATAAATATTAAGCAAAAAACAAATTATTAATAAAAATAATAAAACACTTCTTTAGACTTCCTCCAAAATAAAATTTCTGACTATGCTACTGATTTACCAATCAATAAATAATTGCACTGTATTTTCTTGTTGTTCAAAATTTGAACATACTCTTATGATAATATTATGGAATAAAAGTTTATTAAAATAAGTACTATATTTTTAAGAAGAACTTTATAGCTTTTTTTTATTAATAATTTTTATAATTTTCAAATGTAAAAAAATATTCCCTCCACTGCACAAAAAATCATCTTGTTTTATAATAAATATCAATTAAAAATTTTACAATAACGACAAATAATTATTTTATTGTGGTATTAAAAATATGTTAATCAATTAAATTATTTTTAAAAAAAGGTATTTAATAATAGAACAATAATAATTGTAATGATTGTCAAAAATATATTTTAAGCAAAATAAAAAGTATATATTGATTAACAAATATGACTGAGTAAAAAATGTATAATTTAGAGATGTCTATATATTATAGTGCCCTGTTTTTTGCTTCCCTATTTTAACTGTATTTACTAAACGTAACCAGTTTTTAGCTTCGATGCAAAGCTGAGAAGGTATTATATTACTATGATGTGTTTATTTTTTTTGTCTGTGAACACTCAATTTCAGCTCTCACCGAACCGATATCTTTCAACGATACGTCAAAAGATCACAAATCGTATCTAGTCGAAGACATTACCCTTAAAAATTGAAAAAATTTCCCCCGTTCCCCGTAAATGGGGGAAACCTCCAAAAAAATTACAAATTTAAAAATCGCTAATTTTCGAAATTTTTCCAATTTTTTTTACTAAAATGTGCCGTAACTTTTTCAAAAATGAACATATAAATATAATTCTTTTTTATATAAAAAGCTTGATGTCTTTACTTATCATTTGGTATATTTTTTTTGTAAATCTGACCCTTTATCTGTCCACAGGGGGGGATTTAAAATGACAACTTTTTTACAAAAAATTAACTTTTTCAACTTAACTTTTGAAAATGTTCCGGAAGGTCTGACACTTTTATATATATCTTAAATTAAAGCTAATGTAATATACTTTAATTTGAAAAAAAAAATTTTACCCCTGGACTTGTCTTCATGGTGAAAATGGCTACCAAATGCTATTTTTTTGTGAAAAATCTCGATTTTATTTTTTATATTTTTAACTTTATAATGATATAACTTATTGAAAAGTGTATGGATCAACACAATATTTTTATGAGAAATAATATTTTTTAATAATCCCTTTTTTATTCGACATACTTTATCTTAATCGGGATATTAATAAGGAACTAGCAGATCATGTAGCTTTTTGAATAATACATCATTTTTTTAAAATTAAACACTATCTAAAGATTTGCATCGAAGCGTTTTATTTTGATAGTGATTTTAATCACTGTCAGATATCATTATACTTGATCCAACTATGCCATGTCACCATTGTGCCGCGACCCCCCTGTGCTGATTTTTAGCTTCGATGCGAAGTTGAGAAGATATTAAATTTACCATGATGTGTTTTTTTTATGTTGCCACTTTTTCTCAGCTCTCACTCNTTATGTCTGTTGCCACTTTTTCTCAGCTCTCACTGGACCGATTTCTTTCAACAATACGTCAAAAGATCACAAATCGTAACTAGTTGAAGACATTACCCTTAAAAATTAAAAAATTTTCCCTCGTTCCCCGCAAATGGGGGAAATATCCAAAAAAATTACATTTTTAAAATCGGTAAATTTTGTCTTTTTTTTCACTTTTTTTTCTTAAAACTTCCATAACTTTTTCAAAAATAAACAAATCAACATCTTTTTTTTTATACTAAAACCTTAGATATTTTCCTTTCATTTGATATCATTTTTTTGAAAATCTAACACTTAACCTGCTCATTGGGGGGGATTTATAATAGCAACTTTTTTACAAAAACTAACTTTTTCAACTTAATTTTTGAAAATGTTCCGGAAATACTGCGTCCTTTAAACATATATCAAATTAAAGCTTATTTTATGTACTATAAAATGAAAAAAAAAAATTTATCCCGACACGTTCTCTTCTGCATGTAAACGGCTGCCGTAGTTAAAAAAACGCTATTTTTGTATTAAAATTTTCGATTTAAATTTTCAACTTAAAAATGCTATAACTTTTCGAAAAATGTAATTATCAGCACAAATTTTTTTTTTATAAATACATTATAAGTACATCTTTCATTTGACATACTTTTTATTAAAATTGGACAATTTCCCCATATATAGGGGGCGTTCAAAACTTGAAACATTGTATAAAAAATAGAACTTTTTCAACTGAACTTTTAATTGTGTTCGGAAATACTGCGTCCTTTAAACATATATAAAATTAAAGCTTATTTTATGTACTATAAAATGAAAAAAAAAAATTTGTCCCGACGACCTATCTTCTATGCGCAAATGGCTACCGTAGTGAAAAATATGCTATTTTAACAAANTTGTCCCGACGACCTATCTTCTATGCGCAAATGGCTACCGTAGTCAAAAATATGCTATTTTAACAAATTTTTTTTTTGAAATTAAACACTATCTACAGATTTGCATCGAAGCGTTTTTTATGATAGTGATTTTAATCACTGTCAGATATCATCTATACTGGACCCAACTATGGCACCACCCCACTGTGCTGGGTTTTTTACTTTTGTCTTTGTTAAATTTGTGACCAAAACACACTTATCATTATCAAATCCTACGACGTATGTGAATATATTTATATTTTTGAAAAATATGGGTGTTTTTATATATTATTTAATTGAAAAAAAAACAATTTTTATTATGGACTTATGGAATTAAAAATATTAATTTTTATTATAAATTGATAAAAAAATATCGATTTTTTATACAAAGGGGCCAAATTTTAATAAGCTAGGAAGTTTAAATTGTTAATAAATTAAAACGTATACTTCTTAATAGAATAAATTGAATACATTTTACATTATCAAATACTATTAATACAACATAATTAACCCATCAAAATAAATTATTATAGATTTCATAAAGTTAAACTACCAATTTTAATAACGGTCTTAAACTCTATTGTGTTGCCACAAATTAAATTGGTATATTATTTACCGAGTTATAATAAAAATTCACAAATATAATATAAATATAAAAATATCGCCTCGATTATTTGTAGAATACATTTATTTAACGATAAAATCAATACACATTTCCCATCATTACATGCGTCCTTTTTTGTAAATTAGACTTTATTATAGTTTTTTGGTTTCAATCAATGTTAAAAAAATTATTAAATACGTCTATCAATCATGAAGTATTTTTTATGTTCATCCTTTATACAGTGACGCAACTGAAGAAAAAATTAAGGGGTGCTAAAATTGTGTAAGGTTCACAAACCCATGGGGATAAAGCCCTCTACACACCTAATCCAAAAATAATTTCAGTGACAAATTAAAAAATCATTAATAATTTCTAGGATTAATCTATAAACTAAAAATAATACACCACAATAGAAAATTGCATTTCAAAAATTTTAAATAAAAACATTAACAAATTAGATATAGTCATACAATAGTTTTTAATTGAACACATTGAAATTTAGAGTTTTAAAAGATGCTTTATAAATTAGGTAATAAAATGGTTAAAATATTAATCAAATACATACAGCATCGGATTAATAATGTAAATCTATTTTGAATATAATCAATATGTTTATCTACACATAGAATGTAGATTATTCAATTATTTATACATGTTTTAATCACAATTTAGAAGATACTAAATAAAATTATATATTTAAGAATGAAAATTTTTGAAAAATCTTTTAAGAAAGCCTTATAAAATAGTTTAAAATCACATGGTATTTAACCAATAAAATAAAAATAAAAGACAATTAGTCTTTAATTAGGAATAATAAATTACAACTGCGTGTATAACACAAATACATTTCAGAAGGCACAAGGTATTGAGCAGAGATAACTATAATTTTTTTTATAAAATTATTAAACTATAAACATTATAATGCTGCTCAACCCACTGCAGTTTCCAAAATCCACAAAAATTAATTTAACCAAGTCACAACATTTTATAAACATTAAAATTAAAACACATTGGAGAATAAAAAATTTTATGATTCATAATTAGTACTAAAAACAAATATGATAATAACAACTAAAATCTAATATCACCATTTGGGTAAACTATCAAAGATTTCTTAATTAATTAGATTGATGAGGAGCTTCGGTACTGAAATAAGGTGCTGAATCTCTTACTAAAAGTGTGTGACAAACTCTGCATACTTGGGAATTTCTCATATTAGGGCCACTTTTTACTATTCTAGACAAACATGATGGACAAAATATTCTTCCACAATGGCGGCAATGATCCTATAAAATGATAATTATAACTAATTTCAATTAAAATATTAAAAAATTTAATTAAACAAATAATTGTAAAACTAAAATATAAAATTTGAGAAGAATATAAATGTTACAAACTTTTCGAATTTTAGGATCAACAAATAAAACTCCACAATCATGACAGTCATTGATATCTTCTTCGTGTTCCCATCGAACCTTAAAAATATAATTATGTAAAACTATAATTTATAAAATTAAAATTAAATAGAAATTTTGTTTTTAAATAGTACTAACAGAAGTGCCTGATTCTCGAATTCTTTCAAGTTCTTGTTGAAGTGATTGTGACAGTCGAACAAAATCTCTTTGTACTTCTTCACTATTAGTTAAATCAGATTGGAGGGCCATAATTTTATTGCGTTGTTCAATTACAGTTGTTTCTAGTTCAGTCTACAAAAAGTGTACATAAAAAAAAATGTTGAAATAAAATAATTAACACCAACTTAATTAATCAGTAAAATATATTATACTATTTCAATCATAATCTATCATATCATATCATATCTAAATCATATACTGTAACAATAGAATTTAATGAAAAATTTACCTTCTTTTTGGTAACGTGTTCTAGTTGAGTGCGGCAACTTATGAGTTCTTTTTCATATCTATTAGTAGTTTTAATTTCATCAGAGAAACGACTTCTTTCGTCTAATAACTGCTTTCTAACAACAAATAATTAAAAATATAAATATTTTATTTAACTAAATTCTGAGATAACATGAATCAATATTTACAACAAATTTTCTTTCTGTATTTTATTGACTATAGAACTTCTTGTATTATTGTAATTATAGAAAAAAAAATTACTTATACAGTAATAATGCTATTACTGTATCGTGTAAAACTCAAAGACATGATTTTTAAATGAAACCAAATGTAAATGTATTATAGAATACCTTAGTATTAAAATTGCAAGTAATATAAATAGTTATTAGTAAAATATAAAAAAGATGCTAGTTAATTTCAAATAACATTTTTCAATTGAGATACAAGAACAAAATTAAAATATCTGTAAACAACAAATGACAACATACTCAAGAAAAGAAACAGTTGAATTTAAACTCTGCACTTGGCTTTCAGTTATAGCAGCACTATTTTTTATTCTGTTCATTTCTTCTTCAATGGATTCCTTAACAATTGACATTGCAATTAACTCTTCATTACGTTTTAGGAGATATTCTTGAAGTTCCTAAGACAAGAGATAATTAACAATGTTAATATATATGTATAAATATATAATATTCAGATATATTTTTAGATATATCTTCAGTTAATTCAATGAAAAATAACTATTAACACATACTCCAACAGAACTAGGCAAGTTTATATCCTCATTTTGTAACTGGATTGAAAATTTCATATGTTTATCTTTCAAATTATGATTTTCTTCTTCTAACCTAATGTTAAAATATGAAATTTAGTAATTTAACTAACTTTATTTTTAATTTTGAACCAAATACAAACTGAACTGTACAAAACTATGAATAATTAAAACTTACACAAATATAAAAACCGATAAAACAATGTTTTTTGTCAAATTTGAATATTTATTATTTAGTTAGATATTTCAACTAACCAAATGAGCAAATTTAAAATTGTTAATTGACATGCAAGTTAAAAAAGTTGTGTAATAATGATAAAATTACAAAAAATTTTACTTTATTATATGTTGCTTCATCTTAGCACCATTTTCAGTACATTGTTTAAGTTCATTTTGAAATTCATTCACAGTTTGTTCATACTGCAGTTTAAGGTCACTTAAAACTTCATGTGACTGATCAGAGAAATGTTTCAGCTCTTGTACCTGACATTTGAATACATAGATATCATATCATAGATTTAAAAGTACTAAAAATTAATGCTACAACTTTATTCTTATGTTCTTCCAATTTTTCATTCCATTTTTCTTCCATTTGTTTACGGTAAATAGTCTCTTTATCGTGTTCATCTTTTAATTTTTCCATTGCAAGTAGCTTTTTATCTAAATCATTTATGTGTTCTTGTAACTCATTATTAGAAATTTTAAAAATAGAACATTGATTGCAATTTGACGAAGAGTTTACTAAAATTTTATAGAATATTTAAAACTAATAAATATAATGAAAAAATTAAAATTAATTACCAATCACAGAATTCAAGCAGGTAGAATCATTGGTTTCTGAGACACTAGATTTATCTTGAAAATTACCTAAGACATGAAATTTTAAAACATTTCCATTTTAACTAGAACTGTAAAACAAAGTTGTTTTGAAATTTACCACATAAATTTGTTTGTTCTAATGTTACTTCTTTGGATTTATTTAACTTTGCTTTATAGTAATTAACATCTGAATCCATTTGTCTTAGTTTTTCTTTTAAAGCTTCAATTTGATCTTTCAATGGATCAACTAAAGTTTTGTATACGGTATCTTCATCATCTTGAGACTAAAAAAATATACTTAATATAAATTTAAATAAAAAAATTAAACATACAGAATAGTTGCTTATTTATCTCTTATACTATATTCTAAGAACCATATTATAAAGTATTATGTTTTTAATTTTATTGATTTTATAAATTTTAATTTAGTATATATCATTTTTTTATTTACAAAATTTTAGTGATATTCGAAAATTCAAAAAATTGAACCAAAATGTTTCTTTATAAAATGGTTTGAAAATAAAACTAGTATATTCATATTTTGCCTGAAAATGATTAAACATATTAATGTTTGGTTATAATTCAATTAAATATTTGGATTGAGATTGGTTATAAAATTAAAAGTTTTTTTCAGGTTTAGTTCTACTCAAAAAATCAGGGTTTGTTACATCACTTCAAAAGTAAGGAGAATGAGCTAAATGTAAATTAATGTGTAAATTGTAATTTTTTTTTTTTTTATATTTAGCAAATTTTATTTTACATTAGTTGTGGTCCTTATATATTTTGCTATCATATTAAATGTAAGTTTGAAATAAAAACTTTTGTATTTACCCCACCCACTTCACTATGTATTATATACTATATATAAATTCTCTTATTTTATTCTTACTTTTCTAGAATCATCAGATTCTGTGCTAGAAGCCAAATTTGTCATCTTACGAGCAATAGCTGATAAAACTGTTCCTGGCACATTAAGTATTTGTTGTTGTGTTGATTCACCCAAAATGTTATTGCCTTGTTGACCAATAAGCATTTGATTTCGACAATTTTTTAATTCATTCTCTAACTTTTCATTCATAGTTTTATACATTTTCATTTCATTTTCTCGTCGTCTAGATTCATCAAGAGTTTCTAAAACATAACCTGTTATACCTTTTACATTTATTGATATTAATTGAAACTTACCAGCAAGTACTTTTTGCAATGATGATATTTCTTCATTATATTGTCTTGTTTTTTCTTCTAATCGGCCTTCCATTTCTAACTTAGTAACAGTATGTTGACTTTGTGATTCATCTAATTCATCTTGTAATTTTTTTAATTCAGCTGATATATTAGTCATTTGTCTTAATTCCTCTGTTAAATTTTATTATATAAATATTTATCATTGGAATTCAACAAAAAAACATCACAAGTGATAAGCCATATATAGATATATACAAATGTAAAGCAACAAAGCATTACTGTTCACCTTCTTTTTGCAGAATAAACCCTTTCATTTTGGCACGCTGCAAACCGAATTCTCTTTTCTCCATTTGTAATTCATCAATCTGTTTAAGAAGCGAGTTCAGAGACAAAGGACCTGTCAATATAAAAGCGTGCAACACCAACATAAGCATATTTATTGAACACAAAATAAGAAAACAAATTTTTGTTTTGTTAATAAAAGCAAAGTGACCATTATATACACAAAAAATATAATTTTTACAACAAAATAAATTAAATCAATGTCAAATAACATTTGAAAATCATCATGCAATATGTGGAATTGTACGGATTTAAATCAAACTGTGCAACAAACAAAATTTTATGTTAACATTGATAAAGGTTTCATACAGAACAAATATTCTTATTTAAAATTATTGTTAACACTTCATTAAAGAAAGGTAAATAATAAATCTATTTATAATGACAAATTCTTCTCATTTACACTTCTAAATAAACTAATAGATATATTTTGGTAAATTTAAAAAAATATAGAAAAATGCATAATGATTGTATTTTATTAACTATAATTATTGAAACTTTACGATTAAATATAAACATCCAATTTTACAATGTAGTGTAATTGGAATTGAGTTCGATCTTAAAAAAATACTGTTAACTGATTCATTGAAAATTATCGATAAACAAATATTTTGAGAAATAATAGATAATATCAACTTTTTAATTAAAATTTAAGAACTTAAAATAGAAAATTAGGTTAAAATAATCTAATAATTGTACATATATAAAAGTTAAGGATACTTTTCTTTACTACAGATAATTTGTATATACATAATTTATAAAATTATGATAAACATTTTTGTATAAAATTATATTAATTATAATTATTATCATATTATGCAATTACCACGATTACTTTCTGAGGACTGCTCATTTTTAGTGATTTCATTCTCCATAATTGAATAACAATAGAATGATCAAATATCCAATGACAACTAAAATATATTAATTACTATCATATGAGTAAATATAATTAGTCTATAAAAAAAAAAATTAAAATTTTTATCCATACATTTTTATTCCAGTGTTCTATTTGATGAAACTTCTTGATTATATATGATAATGTGACAACTTTTATCAGCCACGTAAAGACAACTCGGAGTATTAAATAATAGTTTTACATACATATCATAACATAGTCTAGAACACTGTTATTACAAATTATACATAATTAACACTCATACTAAACTTAACAGAAAGAGTAAACAAACTGTGATCAAGAACTAATATATTTTTCAACAAGTTTCAATATGATAAGAAAACTTATAATGATAATAAACAAGTTAAGATTCAAAGTTTGGAAAAATCATAATCAAATCTCTTATCATAGATCATTGATCATAGACTGATTAATTTTGAGAAGGGGCTAAATCGTCTAGCCTTAGCTAGACGTCTTAGTCTAGGTTTATTCTAAATAGTTAATAATAATAATAATGTTATTAATGTTCTTACAAGGGAGGTGTTATGTAACAGATTTATTGATTGATATTAGGCCATGGTGTAGTAGACAAATATATAAAAAAAAATTTTGAATTAAAAAGATTTGTCTTTTCTTTTCGAATTAAAAAGAATCTTTTTAATTCAAATAGAAATTTATAACAAAAAAAAAATCATTTTTTTTTATAACATTTTTTTTTCTCATAATCCATCTAAGTATTATTTTCAGTAAAAATATATTTATTATGTTATGGTATGCGCTATAAATTACGAAGAGGAGTCCATGTTTTTCTAGTCCATGGGGTATATAAAATTGTCTCCATAGCTTAAACATTTTTCAATAATTTTTGCACCCCCTGAGAAATTTTCCTACGGCCATCCTACGACCTAGGTTGGGTTTCATCATTTAGGTAAACAAAAGGATTGCCTTAGATGATTAGTTTTTGTAGTTTTTAGTATTATCCACACATCAATGTTTAAAGCACAGTATTTATTACCCAGGTAATATTTAGCAGTAGTAAAAGGTATCAAATGAACTATCCCATACGATTTTTATTGTGTTCTTTATGTCCACTTCGATAACTGTCCTAATGGGACTTGTTTAAGCTTAATTAAAGATTTCATAGCAAAATTATTTTCTTCTTTTTCGAACTATATTAGTAAGAAGATGGTTACAGTTGTAATTCAAATTTTTTTTATTAGATAAAATATAGATTTATTTCAATAGTGATAAAAAGTGATTAAAACTTAGTACTTATCTTAAACACTTATATTATGCTAGTTGTATTCAATTTACAGATGTCAATTTAAAGTTTTGATAATCAAATATAATTAAATTCATAACAATAATAGTCACTTTAAATAATAAAACAACTGTTAAATAATTGTTTTAAAGTATTAGACAGACGCAAATTTAACAAAATTTTTTGTACATAAAATTCAGTTATATTAAAGGGGTCATAGTTTCTGTGGTTGAAACACAGCTCCCCAAAATGCACCTTTAAATCAATTTATGTTTTAAGGGTACTAGCTGTAATTAATAGGTCGAATGCCAACCATTTTTAATAATATATAGACACATTTTGAAAAAAATTTCATCCGTAGGCCACATTCTTAACGTTTAGCTTAACGCCTTAACTTTATAAACATTAAGGACCGATATAGATAAACCAAGAATTAAATTCTACAATAATAACCTATAATCACATGTCAATTTTTATAAAGCACTATATTTTGCATACAGTCTATAGTTTTTCCATTTTTGATACTGCAGCAATTATTTTTTTCATCATTGGCAATAATAGTAAAACTATTAAATGTTATTTTTTTATAAGATGACTGATTTCAGCCTTCTAATTGTGGCCCATCTAAATAAACATAGCTAAACAATTTTTCACTATCTAAAGAAAAAAAAATGTGATGAATTTTAGGTCACTTTAGATATTCTTCGGGTTATTTGTTGTAATGGTCAATTAAAATTCCGCACAAGTTTATTAATTTGAGTGGTATAATTTTTAATTTTGAAACAACTCAAGAGTTCAAGAGGACAAAAGTTAATTACATTAGCATTCAAATGAACTAGACCACCATGCACATTGTGACTTATCATATGATCTTGATAATGTACATATTGATTGATAATTTAAGTCGAATAGATACTAAGAATTTTTATTGATTATAATAAAAAAATAATATCATTTGTTTAGGAGTTAAAAACGCCTCACAAATGTCACAAAAATATAAAATAACATACGAGTAGTTACATGTTAATGACTATAAAATAAAAATACTATGACATTTCGACTTATTTTTCTTTTAGAATATTTTAAAACTATTTTTAGAATTACTAAATTTAAAAAGCTTATTCCAAAAATAGTTTTACATTTCAAAAAAAATTTGACTTGAGATAATTTATCTTTGATTTACAGAAATATGGGTGGAAGAAAATGGATCAAATTGATAAAGATAAATAAGTTGAATTAAAACATTTTAATAATGTCTATGAATTTTTTAAATAATATTTAAAATTATAGTTACATTATAAATTTTTTCAAAAATACTAGAAAGATGTTCATTTAGTTATTGGTCACATCCTAATGACTATCCTCAGTATTACTTAATATTTTAACCCACAAGTATTCCAAATTGGATAATTTTGTTAATTTGTGGTAATGACATACCTTACTGCCAGTACTAAAAACTCCGTTGTTGATTTATTAATATGCGCCAAGCAATTAAAAAACTGTTCAATTACAAAACTCTGCCAGATTGTCTTGTTTAGTTTAGTAGGTTTATTTGAAATTGATTAATATAATAAAAAAATTTAAATAGGTGAAATTATTGATTTTACTTTAAGATTTTAGAATTAAATTTCATATTTATAACTCTGTACCTTAGAAATAAATTATAATTTTTAGATTATTACATTTTAAAATACGAAATTAAATTTTATATAGATGTAATTCTACCAAGTTATGTTACGATAGCTCCTTTTATATATTATCAGAGTTATAAAAGTTGAAAACTTAACATACTTTTGTAGTTAGTGCTAAACAAATGTAACTCGAGATAATACACATAAAAAATTAATTTTGTAGTTTTTTAATGTATACCAACGATACTAGCAAATTAACTTTGATTATAATTTATGCACCAATTTAAATAAAATAATATTTTTCTGTTTTAATGCTTTCCTGAAAAATTGATTAATTTTACTTGTGTTGGTCCAATTTTGAAGTAGATATAAGTGAATTATAAAAAAATATTATTTTATTTAAATATACTAGGGTTATTTTTATTTATAGACAAAGATAATTTTAGTCTAACCCCTCAACATTTTTCATATACAATTTATTTCTGTATTATGTGCTGATATAATCAATAACAAATTTCCTTCAGTTTTTCAATATATTTAAAAGTTATTTTTAAAAGTCTTTATATAAGGAAAAACGTCTGATTGAATTGAAGTTTTATTTGGTTCATTTTTACATGTATATAACCAGATTTTCTGATTAAAAAAAATAATAACCACTTATATATATAAAATTATTCTGTTGCATATACTGATAATTACTTTCATTGATAGAATTCAACTTCAAAAATCACTAATTTACCATAATATTTACGAATTAGTATGATTTATCCTGTGACATATTGCAGTAATCAGATTATAATATTATTTTAAACAAGTTCAAAGGAAGTTTCTCAACATAGGTGTCATTAAAGTTTTATATTTTTGATATAAAATCAAATTTTTAAAATAATATTCTAGATAAAAATGTTTTTTCTATAAGTATATACTTTAAAGATATTAATATATCCATTAATATTTGTTTTTTACTTTACTAAGGAATTTTGGACAAATTTATGAAGTATCAATATAATTTAATTNATTGCGTTTTAAAAATAAAAGTTGCATTAACTCTGTTTAAAAAAAAAGTGACTTAGTCGGTTTTTTCCCTGTACCCTTCAATTCATAATTTTTAACAACACCATAGAATTTATGTTATAGTTAATAACAAATTTATGTTAATTAGTTTTGATTTTGTTTTAACTTTTATTAAATATATAAGAAATAGGTAATACTTAAAAATATAAAACAAATTTTTTTCTAACATTTATTTTTATTAACTATAAAAAAGAATGATGGTAAATTTTATCAATGAATAAGTTGTGAATAATCAACATTTTATAGCTGTTTTTTATTGCCACTACTAAAATATATTTTCATGAGAGTAATCTACAACAAGCCTGAAAACCAAAAAATTTAAATTATGGAGGGATATAATTTTTATTAAAGCACAATTAACATACCGTTAGCTTCCTTGCATTGACGAATAGCTTCATTAAATCCAGAACAAAGAGAGATGTCATCAGTGTTTTGAGCGCACTGTAAAAACTGTTTAATTTCAAAAGCACAAGCTCCTCCTTGTTGATTACTTTGGTCAACTGGCATACTTTGGATTGGTTGCACTTGTTGCGGTACTTCATCATGGGAACTTCCACCACTGAACAAACCAGTAACTGCATGTCCAACAGTGTGGCCCTATGTAATTTAAATGTTTATATAGAGTCAAAAGTGTGTTATTTTATTTCAATAAATACATACAATAGCAGATCCAACAGCTACACCACCAGCTGTAGCTGCCATTTGGGCGAATAAACCCGGTTGTTGAGGAGCTGGTGCACCAACTTGAGTAGGCTGTTGTTGTGGTGCAACACTTCTTGGGGCTGTTTTTGCAGGAACTGAGGATCTGTAAAATTTGGTAAATGTGAAAAATAAATAGAATAATACAGGTTATTACTTAATAGGAATAACATAAAATTATTAATTTTACATTATAAGTAAAATATTTTTAATAGAATTGCCAATATTTAATCTTTAAATGTTTAAAAGTTATTATTAAACAGTCATTTCATTAACCCATCAACGCCTGGCGTCCCCATATGGTGACATTCGTATTGCTATTTTTATCGCGCGTTCTTAGAATAATAATTTAATAGGTAAAAGCCGAGTGTACCCATATGGTGACACTCAATATCTCAGAAATCGTATTTTCAAAAAATTTAAAAATAATTTTTTTTTATTTTTGTGTTGTATATTAATCTGTTTTTAGTAAAAAAAATAGAAAGTTTGAAAAAAAATAATTCTCGGCGTTGATGGGTTAATTAGAACATTTTATAAAACTTGAAATTGACAACTATGCATGTTGTCATATTAAATTATTAATTGATATTATCATTTAGTCGCTCTTTTTTTAAATTTTTAAAAGGTTTGGTTATGAAAACCAAACCTTCTATTGTTATGTATGCAACTTATCAACAATACAGCAAAATTTGATGAAGAAATTATGAAATATTGAACTTTTAATTTAAACTTATAACATTACACAATATTGTGCAAGATATTGAATAAATATTAAAGACACAAAAAAATAAGTACCTTTGCCAAAATTGAATGTAATTAAATGAAATAAAAATTATTAGATTTCATAAGTTGGAGTTATGATGATATATTTTAATTGAAAATTAATAATTAAGTTAGCACGAAATTTAAATGGTAAAATACTAATTCAGGTTTTAAAATGAATACTTTTTAATAAATTAAAATGATATTAATTCATCTGAACCGATTCGAAATGCAGTATCATTAATTTAAAACTAAACGAAAAATTTATAACTATACTTATAAGATCTTTTATAAATCATAAAATGTTATAATTTTATCTTAATTCAATTTATATTAATCTCATATTTAATGCTAGGTTAGTAAAAATTATTTTTTTTTACCTTCTTGGTGCAGGAGATGGTGAACGTCCACGTCTAGCCATAATGGAATAAATATGTAACTTTTACTTACTTGAAATTTTAAAGTTAATTTTAATAAGTCAATTGAAGTAATCGAACTTCACAAAAATTAAATAGCAAATTGCAATTAATGACTTGACAATAGTGTGCGATAGTGTAAATATACTGAATTATGGTTCTGTTATAATGACATTTAACAGAGAGCTTCAGTACCTATATATTTTTAAACAGCTGTAATAAACTAATGACGTCATCTTTGTGTATTATTATTACACATAATTCTAGAAATTTCTTATCCTTGGAATTGCAACATTATGAATGTCCAGTGATAGTCCATAAAAGATATATATATATATACAACATAATTTGTATTCTCTTTGGTTTTACATTATAAATGCGCGCTTATTAAGTTCGTTATCAAATAAGTTATCATATACACATTTAAAGTCAAAAGTAGAGAGCTTTTAATGTATTTTAACGTGCTCCTGTTTAAGTGTGTAGGACTCAAGTAGCGATTTTATTCTTTCATAATAATGAGCTCAATTGTGAGCTACAAATATTATGTCGTTTTATGATCTACACTTTAGTCATCCACAAACTCCATCTACCTACGATTATTTTTTATTAACACCTTTAACCTTGACTGCTACGCATCTAAACTTTGACCCATCTAAGAATATTTAGAAAGTCTATAAACTCAACAATGGAGTGTGCTGATATAGATGAATGTGTACAAAATTGGGAATCAATTGCTGGAGAATATAAAGCTTTAGAAGTATGTTAAATAGTATTGAATGTATTTTTAGATCAAATAAGTTAAATATCATAATTCCATATCTTAAATTATTTTTGTATATTTGTGTTTTAAAAAAAATTATTCATTTTTTTGTTTGAACTATCAAAACATTAAATTTAGTATTTTCTATAGAGTACTATTGCCTAATTTAGTATAATTGAAAATTACATTAATATTAATGTATATTATAGTTTATAATGAGATTGATATTAATAACCAGCTGACATAATTCAATTTTTAGAATGTCAACAAAGAATATCTGGCCAAAGTAGAAGAAGTCGGAGATCTTCAAGGGCAATGTGTTAAGCAAGTAGCTCATCAGAAATATAGATTAAATGTTATCGCAAAATCTTTAAAAAGGTAGTATTACATATGAATTGATATTATCAAAATTATTAGAAAATTTTTATACAATTATATATTCTTTAGGTTAGAAAAAGATGAGAGACAAGACATAGTGCAAAGATTATGGAAAGATGTAAATCAACGTCGCCAACAATTAGCAGACATTGAGCAAACTTTGCCTAAACCTAATGGAAGATACTTGAAAATCATTCTTGGTAGTGTAAATGTATCTATTTTGAATAAAGAAGATAAGTAAGTAATATATTATATGGAGTATAATAAAGTTATTAATATACAATATTTATCAATAGGTTTCGTTATAAAGATGAATATGAGAAGTTCAAGCTAGTTTTAAGCATAATTGGTTTTTTTTTATCCCTTTTAAACTTATTAACCAAAAGGCGTGCATTAGAACTAACATTTTTATTTTTGTTAGTCTGGTATTATTGCACATTAACCATACGAGAAAGTATATTAAAAGTAAATGGATCTAAAATAAAAGGTTGGTGGCGTGTGCATCATTTTATATCTACAGTCGCTTCAGCAGTTCTTTTAGTATGGCCTAGTTCTGAAACATGGTATATTTTTAGACCTCAATTCATGATTTTTAATGTTCTTATAAGTAAGTTGTTTGTTTCAACAAATATTTTGAAGTATTTTTTAGTATATAAAAAATGAATAAAAGTTTACTTAATTACCAAATTATTTTTATCATTAATGAAACTAAATAGCATTCATTAATTAAATTAGCACACTATTTAAGACATGTGTTTCAAATTTTTTTAATGGAAAAAGTTTCACTATTTTATTATTAAAAATTATATTTTTACATTAAATACCACCAGAATAATAAATTTAACTTCAATAAGTATTATTAAATAATATATTTTATTTCAGGTATAGTTCAATCATTCCAATTTGTCTATCAACAAGGGGTTTTATATAGACTCAAAGCACTGGGTGAACGACATAATATGGATATAACAATTGAAGGTTTTCATTCATGGATGTGGAGGGGTCTCAGTTTTTTACTGCCATTTTTATATTTAGGATACATATTTCAGTTATACAACGCGTATACATTATATAAACTCTGTAGCCATCCAAATGCTACTTGGCAGGTAAAAGATTTCTCTTAATCTTTTATAAAATTATTAATTTATATTTTAATAAACTTGTATTAAAAGCCATTTAATAATACAAATAAATTATTCTCTACTCATGACTTTTGAAGAATGATACAATTTTTTATCGTAATAGTCAAATGATTCAGTTTTCCTTTTTTCACTATTCAATTGGAATATATTAAACAGATAATAGAAAATAATTTTGAAGAACTTTGTTTTTTCTGTAACAATAAAATTTCATAGAAACTAAAGTGGATAAATTTCTATGTTAAAAGTTTCTGTTATTTAAAGATTTTTTTTTATGAAATTATGCTAAGTTTATTATTAGCCAAGTTAATAAGTCAAATTGTTTGATATATATAAAATATTAGAAAAATTTCATTTTTAAAATAAAAATAATTGATATTTATAGAATAAATACAAATTTTTGACACATTGTTTAATTTTGTTTTTAAAAAATTTTAGGTTCCAGTGTTATCAGGACTTTTTTTTTCATTGTTCCTGGGAAATACAATAACTACTTCAATGGTCATTCCACAAAAACTAAAGGAAGTAAAAATAAGGAGGATCATCAAGGTACATTACTAGCTCAATATTTTTATTTCTTTTAATTGATATTGTATTTATTTTTATTAAATATAGACTTATACCAGAAAAATGTCTGGTAATCGACTTGGAGTTGACTCCAACAAGAGTGACTGAAACTGATATAAAATAATTGAGCTGTTGTTGAAACTTGAAATCATTGTTTTCTTAAATCTATCTTTAAGTAGTTCATTATTGTTGTTAAAAGTATACTTTAATTGGTGTATCACTTAAAACTTAAAAATTATTTTTAATAAATAGTCAAAATTACTATTTAAAATTTTATAGACTATTAAAATTTTGTTAGTAATAGTTTTTTTACTTTGTGGCATTTACTTTTTTTTTCTTTACTTATAAATTTGGTAAAATTTACAATTGAAAATATAACCAATTGTTGAACAATTATATTTAAACTAAAACTTAATTTAATTTTAATCAATTATCTAATATAATGTACACATTTTTTAACTCTGAACTTATATTTAAATTGTCTAAATTAATAGACACTTAAATGAAAAAAAAAACATATTTTTTGTTAATAATAGAGAATTATATTATTGTTTGTAAAATATTAATTATTATCAATTCATTTTTTCTTTGCATCCTTCAAACCAGCTCCAGCATTAAATTTGAAAAATATAATATCGCCATCTTCAACAACATAATTTCTACCCTGTTGACGATATTTTCCAGCAGCCTTGAAAAATTATGGTTAGAAATAATTATTAATAATTCAAGCTTGCAATTATAATCTGTTAATAACTAACCTTGCAAGCAGCTTCAGACCCTTCATTTTTAAAATCTTCAAATTTCATTACTTCAGCCATTATAAAACCTTTTTCAAAATCTGTATGAATACGACCCGCTGCTTGAGGTGCTTTAAAACCTTTCTATAAAAAAAAAAGTTAAATAAAATATACAATAATAACAAAATAATATATGTGTTAATACATTAATATATATAAAAACAAATTATAATTACTATTTAGAAAATTATTTACTTGTATAGTCCATGCTTTAACTTCATCAGGACCCGCAGTAAAGAAGTATTGCAATTGTAGTGCTTTATAACCTTGAACAATTATTTTATCTAGAGCACTAAAATGTATTAAAAATTTATTTAATAAAAGTAAATACATAATATGTAATACAAAATTAATTTTCAAATTAAATTTTTTCATAGATGATTTTCTAACAAAATTACATTGACTGTACTATTTATTAAAACTTATTATTGTGACCCTTCAATCAAGTATCCTACGTTATTTTATGTAAAATAACTACCTTGTAGCTTGTACTTCTTCTAAATACTTCTTACGTTCTGGTTCTTCCATTTCAATAATTTTATTCTCAAACACACCACTAAAAGGTATTATCATTGCTCCAGGGTCATTTTTATCAACCCATTCTTTAATTTTAATCAACCATTTATTTTTCTTTCTAATATAATCTTTTTCAGAAAGGTTCACCAAATAAATAACTGGTTTTGTAGTAATAAACATGTGCTTATTAAGAAATTCTATCTAAAAAGTAAAAGAGTATTGACATATGACTATAAGTCTTTATAAAAATTTTTATAATTACATCAAGAGCACTCCAATCTCCAAATCGAATGTGTTTCTTCTCATCAACTAACACAGTTTTGATTTTCAAAAAAGTGTCCTATAAGTGTATAAAAATTGCATCAATAATTATGTTAAGAATAATTTTGAAGTACTTTATTTTGTATAAAAAAACCTTACATATTCAGGTTTTAATTTTTTATCTCCACCTCGTATAGCTAACTTTTCAAGTTTTTCTAAGTTAGCATTAAAATATTCCTCATCTTTCAAACGTAACTCTTCATTAATAACCTCCATATCTTTGATTGGATTAACTTCTCCTTCAACATGAATTACATCTTCAGCTTCAAATGCACCTGATTTAAATAATTTTTTTGAGGTTTAATTAAAATTTTCATTTTAAGTTAAAAATAATATATTATTAAATACTTTTAATTTATATGCCATTTTTTTTACGAAATTTCACAATAAAAAATACAAAAATCATGTATATGATTTTTGGAAACATAAAGCGATGTTAAAATTGTAAAACCCTGTGATAATAAATCAGTTTTTTCATATATTTCAGCACAAGACATCTGAGATTATAATTATTTCGTTAATAGGCCATCATCTACTCTATTATAATAATATACATTATCTATTTATATAATAAAAAAATGTCCGTTTTTTGTAATTATAAATTTTGTACGCAGTCTATAAACATATGCTTTGAAATAATAACTAAACATATTTCTACAAATAAACACATTTTCTTTTTCTATATATATTAAATGTAGAAAATTAAAAAGAAATTTTAATATATGTTAAATTTTATTTTTGATGAATTATTATTTGGTCATACTCACGACATAAATGAAATAAGGCGTCGCACGCTTTTATATGAGACAAAAAGGCGTTTCCTAAACCTTGGCCTTCAGCAGCACCTTTTACTAATCCAGCAATATCTACGATGTTCAAAAATGCTGGAACCTTGCTGAAACAAAAAAAAAGCGATCTCCTCTTAAATTAAAATCCCGTTAATTTTAAAACTCATATAGATTATATAGAGGCGAACGAGAAAATTACAAGTCTCATCAACCCATTGATTGGATTTTTGTCCTCTGGAATTACACATTAGCTACCGAGATTTACCAATAAATCAAATACCTGGGTCTTCCCAACTATATATGATGGGAACTAGATACATTTCGAAGGTTGAATGAAACATGGAATTTTTCAGACAAGTCTCTCACCTAGGGAACCTTATTAATAGAGGGTACAGTTTTGGCTCCCTTTTCCTTTTTACCTGACCGGCCCTTAAGGCACTTATTAGTTATTATTGGACAAGGTAAATGCGTCAATACTCGTAACCGACTATATTTTTGGCACCATACATTAATTTGTAAACATTGCCGTAATCTAATTACTAATCATTCAACTTCTGTTGATGAAAAATCCCCTGTTAAATTAACTCTTAATGTTAAAAATCGAGAAAAATAAATCGAAAAATAATTTCCTGGTACACACAAAGTAATAATGATCAGAAATTATTTCAGATTTTATACTATCTTCGATATCCATTATGTGGTTACTGTATTATGGTTACTTTTTTTTTTATTATTAAGTACAACATCGGCTGCAATGGCCATTAGTTACAATTAAATTTTAAAAATATTATATTGTTATTTTACAATTTAAATTTCATCATTTTTTGAGTTTTTCTTAGGAATCTAATTATTCTTCTATTTTTTTCCGGGTATAGTGTAATTTATAATTCAATTTATTACCAAGAACAAAATAATAGTTGTAAATTTTGGGATGTACAAACGCGATTCGTTATTAAATGAATATAGATGGGAGTTTATTTTTCATATGAAAGGTTTGGTATAAAAACCAGATAAGTCCAACTTTTTTAGAATATAATTTTTTTAATAATTTTGAATAAATATGTTTATTCTGCGAAATGCGGTGCAAAAACGAGTTCTATATTGCTATTAATTATGGAGATATTTAATTTATGAAACATATTTTACTATTGATTTTATTCAAATTTTCTTTTATAAAATAGTGTCCCCCAAAATAATTAAAAGAGAACGATTTTATCTGGTTGTTGCACCAATGTGATTTAAGGTAGTCATTTTTATATATATATTCGTAAAAAAGGTCTTTACCTGTAAGTAAAGTAACCTTATTTGCGATAAAAAACATATGACGTCCTTTTTTATGCTCAATATTTCATATCAAGAAAATTGTTCGACATTAAATAGGCCTCAAAAAATGGAACTTAGCCCCCCGTAGATATAAAGTTCTAGTTACGCCCAAGCCCTTTACATGTAAGAGCGATAATATAACATTGAGTAAGACTTTTCCGTTTTAACCCTGACCAAGCACACATGAAATAATTGTTCTTTGTATACAGTTTGCAGTGATGCAAAACTATTAATACGGTAGTTTTGAAACGTTTTTTAATAATATTGATATTAATAGAAGACTTTAATTCATGCCGGTTAATTTAATTTAAATTTTTAAAGATAACCCTCCCTAACTGATATTATGCATTATCATTTAGAATATACACCTTCGCTAATCCTTATAATTTTAATTCGTTATTTCTCAAAATTAATAAATTCCCTGTTTACCAAATAAATAATCAACAGAAATTTAATTAGTAATATAGTTTGTACAAATAATTAATATTTTTAGACAGTTCATACATGACTTCAAGAAAAATTATAACGAATCTCTTCCAATTACAATCAAAATAACAAATGCAGTAAAAATAAAAAAATAAACTTCATACTAATTAGTAATAATATGAATAACGCACTATAATTTTAAGGTATTAATTTTATTATGATGTATTTTTTTTTTGTGTGTGTGTCTGGTACTACTTTTTCTCAGCTCCCACCGAACCGATTTCTTTCAACGATATGTCAAAAGATCACAAATCGTATCTAATATATAATTTTTTTTATATAGATGCATGTCTTTAATTATCATTTAGTATACTTTTTTTTATAAATCTGGCCCTTTACTTGCCACAGGAGGAAATTCAAAATGACAACTTTTTCGCAAAAAATTAACATTTTCAACTTAATTTTTGAAAATATTTCGGGAATACTGATACTTTTATATATATATATTTAATTAAAGCTAATGTAATATACATTATGGAAAAAAAAAATGTCGTACTTTATTTTGTCTTCACGATGAAAATGGCTATCAAATGCTATTTTTGTGTGTAATTCTCCATTTTATATTTTACATGTTTAGTTTTATATTTATATAACTTTTTAAAAAAATTATGGATCAATACAATTTTTTCATGAGAAGTAATATTTATATCTTTACATTCAACATACTTTTTTTTTTAAATCGGACCATTTACCTATATACAGGGAGGGTTAATATTAAAAAATATATATAGAATGCAGAGTTTTTCAACTTAATTTTTAGAAGTTTTCTGGAAATACTCACACTTTTATATATATCTTAAATTAAAGCTTATGTAATATACTTAAATATTAAATATTAATATGAAAAAATTCTCTTTTATATTTTTAACTTTATAATGCTTTATAATGCTTTTAACTTTATAAAACTTTTTGAGAAATATATGGATCATTATAATTTTTTTATAATAAGTACTATTTAAATTTATATATTATTAATATATATATATTCATATATTACACTTATAAATCATAAAACTGGTAATCAGAATATAAATAAGGAAATAGGAAATCATGTAGCTTTTGAAATAATCCTTCAATTTTTTAAAATTAAAAATTATCTACAGATTTGCATTGAAATGTTTTTTATGATAGTGATTTTAATCACTGTCAGATATCATCTATACTGGACCCAACTATGCCACGACCCCACTGTGCTGGGTTTTTATCTGATCAACCAATCGAGTTTTAAAGTTGTTTAAAGATTTAGGTTTAAAACACAATCTAATTTGGTTTTCAACACCAAAGTTAAGAATAATCTGTTTCAATGTCCTATAAATTATTTTAAGGTAGTTATTAAGTAATTTTGTTCACATTGGTTATTCAACAGCGTCCAATAGTAAACTGGCGTTGAATATAAAAGTATACGTCTATTAATAGATATGAATTATTAAAGATAAGTATTATATATGATGGATAATATCAAATTGCACCTGTGATACTAACTAAAAATAAGGGTTCCCATTAAAAAAAATTAAATTTAGGTATTATATTAACAGATAATGAAAAATCAAAATTATATAAGTACACATGATTTCATATCAAACAATATTTTCCTTTATGAAAATTTAAAATAGTCAATAGTTTTCAAGAAAATGAGTGTTTTTAATACATCATTCTGAATATTCACTGGCATTTGGCCTGCTTTTCAAAAACATTATGCAGTAGTGTGTTTATATAAGGGGCTACCTGGGCTAGCAGTCTCAGGGCACAGCAAAACGGTTGCACCTTTATTTTAAGGGACGTCTTAAGCGGTAAACTCTGGTAAAAAAGTATGCAATGTAATTTATAATTTATGTTTTTATGTTTATGTACATTCTAGGCAAGACATTTTTTTTTATTTAAAAATATTTGGGGAGCATCAAATATAAATTCTCCAGAGTGATAAAACTCCAAATATACCACCGATTCATATTCAATGAGTAATTTTCCTAAGCTTGTCATTGACACAATTTTTTTTATAAATAAAAAAATTCTAAAAATAGTTATTTTAAAAAATGAAATTTTTTTTTTGTATTTTTAAAAATAAACAATAAAATATATGATTTAAACATAATCTAAAAATGCAAAAATTAAAAAAAAAAAATTCATAAAAATTGAATTGTATCAAAATTTATAGGAGTTGTCATTTAAATCTGTTTCAGTCTTCATGTGTAAATTTTGAAAAAACTATGGCGATGGGTTCAGACCCTTTAAGACCTTCTCAGATATGACCTTGTATTCACTGTAGACTTACAATAAAGGAAAGAAGTTAAGAAATGACAAAAATACAGCAAATTTTACTTTACCACAATAGTCCAAATATAATGTCCATGATATTTTGCAAGGCATTTACTTTAATAAAATGTTGTAATTTTTAAGAGAATTGTTTTATTTTATTACAATATAATAATTATTGAATTATAATTTAAATGTGTATACAGAAATAGTATTTTTGTTTACACGTTAAATTTTAAGTTAAAATTTTTTTACATTTCAATAATCAGTACCTTAAAATTGTTATTTTATTATTATCATATTATATATAACTACATTTTTTTAATAAAAGGATATCACATGAAATCTATATTATTACTTACCTTGCTGGTTTAAAATATTCAACTAAATAATCAAATCGTGAATCAGGTACAGGTACACGACTTGCTGAAATAAAAATAAAAATAATCTAATTATTAATCATATAGTTTGTATTTATTTTGATTACACATTTGAAAAAAATAATCTAAGAATTAAGAATTTTAATAATTATTCGATATTAATTTTATCAACAAATCTAAAATTAAATATATTAAATCGAAAACTACTAAAAAAGTTAAAAAAAAAAACGTTTTATTAATTATTTCAAACACTTAAAGAATAAATAAATAATAAATATTTAAAGAATGAAAAAAACAGTCAAACTTCATTTATAATATAGAGTACTTTGAATTACTAACACAATATTTATAATAATTTTTAGCCGTATAAAACAAACACTAATTAATTAAATTATGCAATTATTAATAGTTCAGGAATTCAATTTCAATTAATAAAATACTTATTTTCATTTGGATCAATGGTACAAAATGGAAAGTTTTCAGCAGCTGCTTCACTCTTAGTTAGAACATTAAAAAATGTTGATTTTCCCACATTTGGAATACCAACAATGCCAACTTTTAAATTGGTTCCTACACGACCAATAAGTGGTTTTCTTTCAGGTTCTTCGACCTTTTTTGGTGGCATTTTGACTATCTAACTAAAACATGTTTCATATTTTTAAATGACATTTAATTGAAACTAGTAGGCATATGTGATTACTTACATTTTATAAAAACACTTAAGCTTATAATGTATTCTCACTATTATAATTTTATACTTTAATTTAATTTACTTAATTAAAATGTGGTTTACTTAAACACATTTTTATCCGGTATATCGTGTAATCACTTTTAACAATAAAATAACATTGATAACAACTGTAATGATAAAACATATGTACATATTTTAACACGTGCCGGATGAATATTTAAGGTTAGCCTGTCAAATTACCTAAATTAAGAAAATTTAATTAATTTCAAAACAAATAATTCTGTACATTTCATAATTTGTGACAACACAAAATATTACTATTTTATGTGTTCTTATTATTTTTTATCAATCAAGGTATGATGTCAACTTTAAATTTTAGATTCCTTTGATGTCTAAAATGATAGATAGCGTTTTATGTATTTGAAAAATAATCTGCAATATTAAAGATAAAAAAAAAATCATCTGTAAATGCATTGGTCTTACGTTAGTGAAATTCTAAGGCGCTACCTTTTATCAGTTATTATCAGTTAAAAAAATTGCAGACTAGAACTTAGTCATATAATTAAATAGATAATTAACTATGAATAAACGTGCTCTAATAAAAATTCTAACTATCTCTAATCCATTTGATTTTCTTACAATGAGATCTTCGAGATATCTCTAATATTGTGATGTTCTTGAATATTTGTTCCCCATATCTTCACACTTTTTTGTTTAACTTATATATTATTTGACCTAACTATAAAAATTTTCATTTTTGTTGACCAATATCCTTTGAAAATTGTAGGTGTTTTAAGTTTATTGTGTTCAATAATCGATTGTTTACGTGATAATAGTGTAATGACTGTTTTTAGATCTTCAGTTGAACTTCATTACTATACTTTATACTATTATGATTTTGATGTTTAATGTGTATTATTCACGTTGAACTATATTTTTTAGAAAAACGATCAAGGGCGTCACCAAGAGTCGTTATCGAATCCCATACTTGCACAAGATAATAATCGACCAAATGACTATAAACTCGTATATAATTTGTTCACCGCTCGTATAATGTGTGCTTTTCGTGGAATCTCCTATTCGGCTCTAGCACTGACCATTAATAGATGTTTAAGAATAGTACAATTTAACAACATTATTATTGTTATTTTCGATTCGATGTTGTTGGAATAATATAGGACACCGCAACAAGGTGCGTATTATAATATGATAATGTGATAGGAACTGTGCAAGTCCTAAGTGTAATGCGCTGGGGTTAAACGACGAATATAGCAGCAGCGCGCCTCCACCTTCTTGGCGGCCACGCGGAGTTCACATTGGTAATAACAGTGATTTTTCGTTCATTGGATCGGTTCCACCGTCAATTTCCCGAATTAATATTACTGCATTACAACTATGATTATTGTTATAAAAAAACATTTCCAGAGATACACCCTAAGGACAAATGTGTACTATTATATACGTGTAGAAAAATTGCCTGGGGACAGCCGTCTGTGCCGCTTATGTTTGTAAACGTGTAGTTAAAATATTATCGCGACTTGGAAATATTTAAATGCTACGGATAATTCAACAGCCGCGCCATGATGATCACTCGTATGAACAGAAAAAAATATATGAATATAACCTAATACATAGATATGTTCATCGATATGGGAATCAAAATTGATATCTCTTCCCTACACTACATTTATTACTGTTATTTTCGAATGTTTTTTCTCTTCCCCATTCATTATTAATGTCGGGTCACAAGCGGCAGAGATAAAGTTTTCTGATCATTTTATTGGCGTCAGACGTTCTATTATTCGTATAATAACTGGTCAATTTTATTATTAAGAGCCTTCACCGGCTGATGGATTTCCTGGAAAACGTGTTCTATCATCGTTTGGTTATTTACATAAATATGTTTTTTGTTTGTCTGTTTTATTTCATCACTTGCAAATACTAAGCTACTCACAACCACTTCCCTTAGCTAATAATCTGGTTATAACTATTGCACTTTATTTTCCGTATAGTGTTTTATTTGATTTTATACATTTCTCAAAGTTACATCCAATTTAATTTAATTTTTTCAATTTAATTTTATTTCATTATTATTGTCGACACATTAGTGTCGACAATAATAATGAAAAAAAATACTTAAAACCAAACGTGATAGGAGAAATTATCTATCAGAGGTTTAAAATTTATTTGCTTAGTGATTTTTACAATAATTTACTATAAAATAAATGTTTTCAAAATATTATAGCCAATTTGATAAATTTTATTATAAATCAAAAATCCTCATGGTACAAACGAATGTTTTAAACTGTAGTGAGCATTTGTACATTCTAGTCAATTTAGTTTAGTTTTTACTTTTATTGATTTTTTTTTCATAACAACTTTAACAATATATATTACAAGGATTTGATAATTTCTCGTGGGAATTCCCATAGAAGAAATCGGTAAATAAAAACAAAAATCTATAATACTACATATATATATATATTTTTTTTTTTGAACCCTATAATTTTTAATAGAAATTACACCAGAAGGTCAGAGCTGTAAGACGATTATTTGTATAATAATTATAGGTAAACCTAAACAAGAGAATTTTAATATCATTAATGAGTGTTGAAGTAAATTTTTCTTTTTATTGTTTTCAATTTATAAGTTGAACAAATATAAAATGTAATGTTTCTATGTTGAAATACGTGTACATTTATATCTATGTATAGTGATAAAAATTGCAAGTCTTCCAAATGTACTATATATATTAGTATTGCGTATATTGCATTCGATGAATGGATAATTCGTAATTGCAAACCACGTGTTAAGGAGTTGTACAAATCCGATACTTTTATTGATACAGACCATTTCTCGTGTATTGATCGATTATTCAATATGAATAACACGAATAAAAAATAACATCTCGGTAACTACTGTAACAATTACGCATTCCAAAGGGGTTCAATTGTATTTCGAAAAGAAGAAATCATTTAAAGATCAAATTGTAGGAAATTGATAAATTATCGCTCTATAGTAGCGAACCGTTGACAGATCCGGTCCGGGGTGTCCTGCTGTACAAACGTTTCGCCTTGTATGTCTTTGTGTATTTTGAAAAAGAGACCGCATGACTGCTGAAGAATAAGAGCATTTATCGTTTAAACGGGACGTCGGCAATTGGGAGTAGAGCAAAAGAAATAAAAGACTCGACGAATTTTGGCTGCTGCCGACCTTTGGCATTTGCCGACGTCAGCATTTTGTGTACCTTTACGGTCGTCAATAATCACCCTCGTTGTTCCATACTATGATATACTTATTTTTTATTTTATTATTCATTTGTACCGAGATTTCTGACCAAAACAAGTGCACATTATGTGTATTGTGTAAGTGAACAATTCAATATCAATTGGCTCTTCTCAGCAACTGCGCGACTTTAGGTTGTATTTTCACGCTCATTTTAGATAGTGAATTAACAATTGTCTCTTTTTTCCACGTTAACTTGCTCAAGTAAAATAATGTCTTTTTACTAAAATTATTATATTGAAGACCAGTTGGTTTAGCTGTGAATTAATCTCGGTAGGATATACATAATTTTTCAAAATTCTCCCTGTAGAAAATAAAATTGTTTCTTCTAAAAAAACAGTTATATTTTTTTCTTGATTTTTCTAAACAAATATTTATGTTATTCTACATGATTTATTCTTGGAATGGAATTCACGTCTTTATCGTCTCTTGATTTTGTTCCTAAATTATATTTCGGATTATTTTAAAATTCCTTCCATCAAACGTTTGACAAATATCATAATTATGAGTGAAAAAATATATCTAATATCATATTAACCATTCACATTTTCTTTCTGGGAAAGATCTGCCATTAGTCCATTTTTAAGAAAAAGAGTTAAAAAATGTAGTAATTATAATTATGTTTGATTAAAATTAATATATAAATAATAACCAAATTAAATAGTATCAAACAAATAGAATTTTACAAGCTATATGGTTTTTAAATGTTATCAATAAATATTATTTTGCGCTAGTATTTTTAGTGTTTATTTGGATCTCTTATGTATATTTTTTTTAAATAACTCATCATCATTTTATCTATATTTAACCAAAGGTAATATTCTAAAATTATATCTTAAATTTTTTTAGCATAGAATCTACACCCTGGGCGGTCACAAATTAGTTATGGACTATTACAATACATTTCAAGACCAACCGCACTACTACACATGTAATAATTCTTGTACACATTTTTAAGTATATCTACACAGGACCGATGAAGACATATAATTTCGCGACGGGTGTTGGACCGAATGACGTTATAAACTATAGGATATCTTTTTAAAACATCTTCTAAAGAAACTATTTTTTAAAAATGAATTGCTAATAATATTTTTTTTTAGCTTCATTTTACCTTTCGGCTTTACATCTATTAGTTTATTATTTATGTTAGTTTATTAAAAAACGGCACTTGTAACAATTTGAACATTTGTGATATACGAATTTTAACTGCTATATTAATGTTAATAATAGTAATGATATATATATATAATTCTATTGATTTTAATAATTAAATAGGGCAATAACAAGTGAAAGGTCTAAAAAAATTAATTTTTTTTTTTTTGTGAACATAATACTAATAATCTGGTTTATCATAAATCATATTTATGTATAGAAAAAAATAATAATGTTGAAAACAAAAAAACGCTTGTTTTTAAAGTCAACTTTGTTCAGATAAATTGTTTTTTTTATTTTCTTGTAAAATTAAGTTTTTGTGATTTGTCCCATGTCAGTGTTTCAACTATAGTTTTTGAAACAAAAGTTAAAGCGTTGAATCTTCCAACTGTTGATGTTTACTGTTTGATAGGTTTTGTATTGGTAGTTTGTCTAACTTAAAAACTTAAATAATTTCTGACATTTATGTAGGATCATACTTAAGGAGAGATCAGCAGGGTCTATGCCCTGGGCTTTGCATTTTTTTTTATAGTAGTTCTTAGCACTCGCGAAAAAAATAATGTAGACGTTTTCAAAATGATTTTTTTGGCAAATCCTTACATCAGCTCTGTGCTGAGGTATATTTAAATGAAATCGCACGAGTTCACGTGCCTTTCCATTTGACAGTAGCGTGTTGTGAACATTTCCAAAGTAGCCCAACTTAGTATTGGTTTAATTTTAAT